ACATTTCTGGTGGCTACCTAGTTCGCTACTGATAGTAGCAAACTACATGGTCAAAATGTCAGTCTGCTTTAAGCAAAAATAGGATATGTGTCAGTCTCGTAGAAGTTCACTACGGGACACAGCGAACTATGTGCAACTGTAAAAAAAAATAGGCGGTGGACTATGTTTGAATTGTAACAAGTTCGCTTCTCAATATAGCGAACTTGGTTGAAGTGTAACTTCTTTTTCAGTACCGGGTCTGACACCAAGGAGAAGAATAAGACAACACATTTGGCGTAAACCATACTCAACCTTCCTTTTACTTTCACGTCATACTTGAGAATCTTTTGCAAGAAGTTGAGGTAAATTATATTTTTTATTATTTTGAAAACAAAAGCATGTAATTTAGCTGGCCTGATTTTTCAGTTGTTCAAATTGCAGAATGATTCACGAGCTAACGATGATTCTTGACATTTTATGGATAAATTATTAGATTCCAGTTATTGTCAGGCATTTGGGTGAGAATCTGGAAAACATAGGCTTGGGCTACCTGCCAACTCCGCCCCCTGTTGTTTTCGTTTCTTTGGCTATTCAAGCTAGAGTTTTTCATGTCCCCTTTTTGCACTGCGGGAAAAATGAGTTCACAAAAGCTAACCAATACAAAGAGAGAAATTGTAAAGAAACATACTAATGTTATAGTTGATAATACATCCGATAAATAACCCAGGCAAAATCATGTTAAACTGCATTGTAAAATTTTTTTTTTTAACGAGAGAAATGTGTTCCACCCGGCTATTCAAATGGGTTCTCTAGTAAGTGAACGTCAATTGTTGTAAAAAGTCAATGAAGGACCCACTTCACCCAAGTTCGCTAGATTGAGAAGGGAACTTGTTACAATTTGACACATAATTCAACGTCTATTTTTTTCTGACAGATGCATATAGTTCGTTGTGTCCCTTAGCGAACTTCTACGTGGCTGACACATATCCTGCTTTTGCTCAGAGTACACTGACATTTTGACAACGTAGTTCGCTACTGGGAGTAGGAAACTTGTTGTCCACCAGAATTGTGCCACATCAGCAAACCAAGTTCCCTGGGCACTGTAGCGAACTTGCTCATGTGGCATATTGGTAAATAATATTGTTCGTGTGGTATTTGGGTAAAAAGATTGATGAACAGTGACATTTTGATCACTGTTCCAGATTATACAATGCCGGGCTAATGAAAGAAAACATTATCCTACCGTTACATAAAATATAAGTTTAGAAATTAAATACCATAAGAACTTGGACTAGATCTTTATTTCATCATTGCTTGTGTTGTGACATTTCTCTTGTAAGTTATTCATGATTTTGTTGTCCTTTAATAAAGTTTTTTTCTTATGGTTTTGTTCTTCAAATCTCTTTTTGTTATTGCCCAAATTTGATGTTTATTGGTCTTCATTTGTCATCCAAATACTCTAAATTCGTTCTTTTTGTTTTGTTCTCTTTTTGTTGTCTCTTTATTATAATCAAAATATATATTCTATATATTTTTTTTTCAAATTCAAAAATGACATTATTTTGAAATTACAAGACATAAATATATATCATATAAGGAAGAAACACCAAACCCTTTATTTATTTATTTAATTAATTGGGTTTCTCAATTGTATCTTTGATGGCAACTTTGTTTCTGATTTCTATCTAATAAGTTAATTTACATATTTTAACTTTATTATCTATTAAATTAATATGAAGAGTTTTGGAACCAAAAAAAAATATATATCTACATGTAGTTTTAAGATTTTTAACAATATTATTATTTTTTAAATTAGCGTTACGTCCGATTTTTAAATTTAAGAAATGTAATATAATTCATGATTCGTCAACATGTAATGTGTTATTTTTTTATAATGGAATATGTTATTTTATAGACCGCTCAGGTCAGAGACAAAAATGATTAATTAATTTTTTATAAAAATCATATCTAATTTTTCTCTTAATATTTTTACGTGAAATGTAAATGCCACTATACTTTTGTTGTAATGTGAAAAATGATACCTTATAATTATTTTTAAAATAATTTCACTTTTTTTTATTTACTAAAGAAAAATAAAATAATAGTAAAAACAATTATAAGGTATCATTTAGCAAACGATTAAGATTATAATTTATATCATGATTATATTATTTTTTATATCTCAATTATTAATTTGTGCTAAACATAAAATTTATAATTTTATTAAGGGGGTGTATTGGATTGGAATTTCAAATAATTTTAATGGATTTTGGACAAAAAAATCCATTGGTATTCAATTAGAATTTTAAAGGATTGAAAAAAATCATATGGTATTCAATTAGGATTTTAAAAGATTATTTTAGAGTCCGTCCAAATCCGTTGGTATTCAATCATAATTTTAAACAAAGAAAAAATAATCTTGTGGTATTCAAAAATCTTACGATTTTAGTGAATTTTTTATTTGTGTGGATTTCGCGAGACTTTTTAATGAGAAATATAAATAGGATGTCTCTCTCACAAT